ATTAAGCCTTATTGAAACGTTAATTAAATGTCATTATTTTATATACTATATATTAATAACAATACAATAAAATAAATTTCCAAAATATATATACAAAAGTAAATGTGATTTACAGTATATGCAAAAATTGGCTATCAGAGCTAGCTTTATTTATATAAAAATAAAAATAAAAATATTCTAAAAATTTTTTTATTTAAGAATTTTCAGTAAAAAATATGTTGCTAATATTATTAATATTGATAAAGTTGATCTTTAATTGCTAGCAAAAAAACCAATTTTGTTATTATAATAATAGACATTGAAATATTTTTTTTACTATCTATAAATCTCATTTAAAAGTATTCTTTAAAATTCTTTAACTATCAAAAAGTATAAAAAAAATACATAATAGTATAACAAAATTACAAATTTAAAAAATTTAATAAAAATTATCTTCAAATATAATAGGTCTAATGCAAAAACAATTACACTATATAAACCAACTTTTTTTTAGCTTAATATTTATTAATTTAACTATATTAGCAATATTATCTTTCTATTAAAAAAATATTATATTAGGGGTTTCAAAGTTAACAAATAAGTGATGCATTTCGAAAATAAATAGGATTTTTTCAATGGTATTTTTACTATGTTGAATTATAAATCGGAAAAATAAAATGAGGTTCTCCCCTAAAACAATCTTTACCAAATTTTTTAATTAATAATTTTTTTATCTTATTGAAATATTGTAAAACTTAGCAAATACTATTTTATTTTTTAGTATCAAGTTTAACAAAACTTGTAAATCTAGTTTTTTTAAAAAAATTTGTAACCTCTATTCATTTTATTTTAGATTTGATAACTTATTTGTCTGCTTAGATCTACAGTACATATGTTAAAATTTATATGTAGTATATAGCAGAACTAAAATAGATATTACATATTTATAATAATTATGACAATAAAAATAATTATACTGTATATACATTATAATGCATGTTTAAAAAACCACTTCTAGTATGTAAAGATCGAATCTAAAACCTTTGATATAGCATAAATTACATACAGGTTCTCACTATATTCATCTTCATTAATAATGATCTCAGACTCCAAATAAATAATCCCTGGAATTAAAAATACTCTTAATAATAATATAATCTTATATAAATATACACATAATTTTACATAAATAACTTACAATCCTTCTAACAGGTCAAAAACAATCATCACTATATGCCTGGATTCATTCCTTCCTATGGAAAAGCTACTGAGTACATAATTAAGATTTTATGAATGATACATGACAAAAACGCATATCTTCAGAGATGTACCAATTTTCATGACGGTTATAACAAACACTAGATACCCTCCTAGCCGCATAATCATGTTTTGAGTAATAAAATGAAAAATCATCTATTAAATGACTTGTAGGTGTTCTAATTTCTTCTGTTTTATTTCTTAAGATCATTACGACGCTCATGAGACTCTTTTTATATGAAAAGGTAAAATCAGGTTGCTGATGATGGTATTTATAGAAGCCTATAAAGCCATAGTTTCATGAAAGCAAGTAAATTTTTGCGCTTCCCAAAACAATTACCGTGTTATATATAAGGGAGCTTCCACTTATTAGCTAAAGTAATCAATCGTTTGACAATTGTAAGCTCTAAGATAACCAATCGTATAGAGTTTATATTATGATTACTTTAGAACTTGTAATTGTCAAATGACTGACTCTGGAGGGGGCTATATATATACCTAATAAGTGGAAGCTCCCTAACATTTGATCCGTGTAACCATATCGATACTGTATGACTAAAGTATAAGGTTTTTATCGGCGGACTTAGCCAGATAGTGATTCAAATTTAAAAATTTTGATGAAATAGTTTAAATAGTATCAAAATTTTTAAATTTGAATCATTAGATGATAAAATATTTATAAAAAACAAATTCAAATTTGGTAATTCTTAGCCGATAAAAAATCGGCTAAGCATGGCTAAAAACCAAATGTTTTATCTTTTATCTTCGGAAATTTCGAAGATTTACTTCTCGTTCATTTTCTATCCGGAAATTTTCGGAACCTTGTGCCTTTAATTCCGCTAGCATTATCACAAATTATACTATTTGAAGTCATGTGATCTTGTGCCGCATTAGCAAGCCGATCACATTACATCGGCTGGCTTAGCCGGCTAAGCCGCCTTAGCCGCAGCTGCCCTGGCTGACTTGTAACACTACTATAGTACGTACTACGCGAACCACTAGCGGCCCGGTATTGTACGTTTGTTACTGTAATGATGCACAGCTTATAGTATAGTTATCATACGATATATATGTTATGCATTGTTTAATATATAAATCTTCTTTGGCTGAACAAATACCGTAAACGGCCATATAGAAGACCCTCCAAAATAGTAGACCCACCGGGTACTACACCCGTGTGCAGATCTCAGGATCTTCTTGATTGAAATGCAATGCAAAGTGTGATGCGTTTCAAATTTTACTTTCGATGATAACCCCGGATCTATTATAGGTTTTAAATTTGGATGAATGTAACAGAATCGGGCCTTTTATAAGACCGTTTACGGTACTAGAAACATGTATTACAGCTGTTCTCATAAATTCTGGGACAATGAAAATTTTCTGATGACCGAATTCGATAAATTACTGAGTTCGGCCGAAGTCATTTACCTATTGATTCCGATTTTGTAACTTATCGAATTGCTATCTTAAAGTCAAAAATCAATAATTTATCTGAAACAAATGAAAATGTTTATTCGAATTTTGTGATATCCATATCTTAATATCAATAAGGTGAAACGGATAAACGCTGTAATTGCCTGTAAAAGTATCGTTTTGTTAAGCAAACAGGTGTTAAAAAAAAAATTCATATACTCGGCTCAATCTTAAACCAAAATTTCTTTACATATTATTAGCAATGATTTAACATTAAACCGAATTATTCAATACTTAAAAAAAACTGATATTCATTTTCATTGCTGCACAAATGATACATGTTGATTCCGAATTGACATAGATCACACACAACAAATATAAAAGTTTACTTCCGAAAGCAGTACTTTTATGTCATGGGAAATACCCTCTAGGTAAAAACTTTGAAGATAGTCAAAAAATACCCGAATATACATCTTGTCATTGTAAATACCCAGATACACTAATCAGTATTATAATTTTATTTATTAGAGAAATCTTATTAATTAATTAGAGAATCGCTTATCAATATTGCCTTGTGTCTAACATTTTAAAAAATATCGACTAATAAAGGCAAAAACTTTTTATAGTTGCGTATTGTTTGAAAATAATTCAACGAATTTTTTGAGAACCAAAAATTATCATGATTTTGATTTATCATCTTCTGGCCTTAGTCTTTTCAAAGACTAATCCATTATTATAAATTAGTCACATATTTTGATTAATTTTATTAACTGTATTATTCTATAATTTATTTACATTATAGTTAATTAAATATTTATTAAGTAGATAAATCATACTCAACTCAGAAAAGCACAAAATTATTAGCGTACTCAACTCTGCAAGTTGTGTAAACTTTATTGTAAATCAGATAATCCTTACTGTTACGATTTGGGCTAGTTTTGCCGTTGCAAACATTTTAATCACACTTGTGGGAAAAGTCATCCGCCTCTCTTCGGATAATTGATAAAACAATGTTTCAAGCTAAAAATATTTAATAAAAATTTGGTATATTGTATAGCAATTATCAATTAAATTGAGCTAAGCTTCAATTTTAAATAGATTTGAATATTTTTTACGTGGCTGTCAGTTAGTGATCATGTTTGATAAAGCATTAAAATTCATTAACATTCATTAACATTCATTAACATTCATTAGCATCCATTAACATAACTTTTATTGGGCGAAAATATTGTTTGCTTGTATCTAAAAAAATCGTTGCTTGGCTCAAGGCTTTTTAAACCAAGTCCACATTTTATTTATCAGAAAAGTCCTTTTCAGTGAAGAGGCTTCATTCAACAGGCTTATTATTTTCACGTCTGTCAAAGTAAAAATTCGTGTTATACAACTTCTATTAACAATATAAAAATATATACATCGATCACAATTATAGAAACGAACTTATCAAAATAATGCTAAATTATTTGTTTGTCAAACATTGCCTTTTGCTATTATGATAGAATTCATTAGAGAAATTACTAAATACCAAGCTTCAATAAGAACCGAAAAGGAAAATGCGCTTCTTGCGGAATAACAGCAAAGCTCTGTAACTTTTAGATAATGTTTATGGCTTTTAATCATTTGCTTGAGTTTTCAAACATAATTGTACATTATTATTTAATCATTGAAATTTTTATGCTATAATTTTTCTAAATGGCTTATCTTAAAGAATTCTTTTTAGAACTTTTATAGAGATTCAAACCAGAAAATTTTCTTCAAACTGTAATTGTTGAATTTTAATTTTCGAAATGTGAAGCCACACAAAGGCTTGGGTTTATGAGGCTTAATTTTCTACATGTCACGGTAGTGATAAATATTTGGTGTCTTTGATAGAAAGTTACCTTGAATCACTCAACAAAGCCAATTACGAGATTTCTTTTCATTGACTATTATTGCGGTAACTAATTGTGTAGTATTTAGAGGCTTTTATTTGAAGAAAATGACGTGAGGCTTTGGGATAAAAACACAGATATGTAAAAGAAATAACTTTTTTACAATGCATACAATTCTTGAGCCTATATAAACCCTCTCAATTTCACCCTCAAGACCTTCATTGAAGAAAATAAAAACTTCAAAAAAATAATAAAATAAAAAAAATAAAATAAAATAATAAAAATATATAATATAATAATAATGAGAATTGCTACTCTTGGACTTTTAGTCGCGTTCGTTGCGACTGTTGCGGCCGGTAATGTATTTGGTCTTTTGTTAAGCTGGTTGCCTTTCATATATCTAAAATTTCAATGTTACAGATCCTTACTACTACTACGAAAAACGTGATGCTAAACCATATTACTACTACGACAAACGTGATGCTAAACCATATTACTACTACGACAAACGTGATGCCGAAGCCTATTACTACTACGACAAACGTGAACCCTATTACTACTACGAACGTGATGCCAAACCTTATTACTACTACGACAAACGTGATGCCGATGCCTATTACTACTACGACAAACGTGATGCCGATGCCTATTACTACTACGACAAACGTGATGCCGATGCCTATTACTACTACGACAAACGTGATGCCGATGCCTATTACTACTATGACAAACGTGAACCCTATTACTACTACGAACGTGATGCCCAAGAAAAGCGCGAACCCTATTACTACTACGAACGTGATGCCCAAGAAAAGCGCGAACCCTATTACTACTACGAACGTGATGCCCAACGTTACTAGATTATTTAGTAATGAGGGTCTTATCAACTTAATAGAAAAAAAATTGTATACAAGTAACGATTTTTATAATACTTTTCATATGTATATAAGTAAAACTGCTTTTTCTTTATAGTTTTTATATTTTTCTGGGGGTTTTTTTTGTAAATAGTTTTTCTCTTAATGTTTTTTACAAAATGTTCACTTTTTTATCTGGACTTTAAATGAATATTATTCTCCCCTCATCGTATCTTTATTATATATATATTATTTATTTTTCTTTATGTCACTGTATATACAAAGTTGGACATAAAGTGTGTCCTTTTCGTTATTGCCTCCTTTAGATTAATTTTTATGATTGAATTGCTCAATTCCTTGATGTATGCTTTTTTTTTCCTAGATTTTGGCTTGTCCTTTTTTATTTTTATAAATAAAGTTCTATTCAAATTCACAAGTTTATCTTATACAGTATGATATGAATTTGTTTAAATGAGTATGGAAGGGTTGGAACGCAGGTTTATCAAAACCTCGAGATTTCAAATTCCAGATAGTATATTGCTATTGATATGCAAAGCACAGATAACACTTTTTTTGTTAACTGATAATATTCATTAACCCATTTATCAGAAGTTAGAATTATTGTGATTTTCATTTTATGATCAATGATAATCACGTCACCAATATATGCACCACGCGTTTTTGTTTAAATGCATGCAAGAATGACGAGTTATATTATATTGTATCATATTTAACCAAATTATGGTAGGATACGTTTGTAAGTACTACGTACAAATATTGTACAGTATATTTGACTAAATTTTGTATGCAATCGAATGATGTGGCATGTGATATAATATAAAATCCTGCGTTAGAAATATACTAATGCTTTTATGCAGCATGTGATATAATACATTGTGCTAGCATTTATAAATTCATGGCGTACACACGGGTTTTTTTTAATAACGTTTTGAATATAGCCAAATGTTACCGCTGTGTTGCGGAGATCTTCGGGAACATTCTTATGAACCAATAAGGCAATATTCTATTATATATTAATAGTATTAGTGTTAAGGTTCGGTCTTTTTATCCTTTATCTCCATCCTTTTAAATTCTTACATTCTTTAATTGTTGTTAAAAATAGTTTTACTATTAACTTAAAAATTTTGGTTTCCAAACGATTTGGTTTTTTCTTCTACTATTCATATCTTTTGATCATTCCAATATTTTTCGAAATAGACCTTTTAAATATAAAACTTTTTTAATATTTTCACATTTAGTTTTCGTGGTAAGTTATTGCATTAAATATTTGAAATACTAGTGCGTTTCAATATTAAATTTGAATTTTCATATAAAGTTATCGATTTTTTGCCTTTAATAATGGGTCAAAACAAGACGCTTGTCTAACCTTGTTTGGATCATTCAACAACCTCACGTGGGCTAAATAACTTTAAATAGAATTTATTGTTAGAAACTAACTATTTAAAATATTTTTAACTCTTAAAATGCCGCCTTCTTACTTTTCAAATTTTAATAAGATAAAAAGAATTTCTTATTTACGAGAATATTTTTCTACTCTTGTTCGAAAACCAGTTGTCACACAATGCATGACGAAATAATTTATCATTTGGAAAATTCTGAACAATTTTGGATTGGTAAGTATACTAATTTTTCGATGTATATTTTTTCTAGGCTTTAATCTTACCAAATTTGTTTGAACCAGAATTGGATGATATCTTAGCCCAAGGTCAGCAAAATCAAGATACAGCAAAAAGGGCGATAGATGCATACGTCAATTTTGTCTCAAAATTTCAAGGTATTCGTTATATGACTTATTTTTTAATAGCTATAGCTTGTCATTAACGTATCTTATTTTATATATGTAGATGAATACTTGGAAACAGATTCGCAACTAGCCCAGTGTTTCTATAATCTTCTGAGTTCGCCAATGTATAAAACATTTCCTAACTTAATAATTGAACGTATGATACATCATGCAACAACATGCAACGAATTGAAAGAATTATGGGTGATCTTTAATATTTTGTATCTTGCGGGGAAGAGTAATCTAGCAGTATTTAAATTAATGGTTCGTCCACAAGAGCATGATTTCATTTTGAAGTTGAAGGAACATATTTGTGATCTAGAGAAAGGTTCGTATATATTAATGGCTTAAACATGTAAGTTCATTAAAAAAGAATGTTTTTTCTCAATATATACCATATAATTAGAACGTAGAGTGCAGCAAATTGCTGTGAATCTAATGTTTGAAATTTGTCGCGGTCAGCGTATATCACAAAATATACTAAGTAATTTATTTAATATTTGATATTTTTGTTTTTTGTGCATAATAACGCTTGTTTCCTTCAATTCTTTCTTTAATTCAATATTTCAATGCATTATAGGTATTTTTAATGATAAATTTTTCGACTATCTCCTTAATCTGGTAGAGAATACAAGAGATGAAGAGGATGAGACTTTTAATTATTCGATTATTCATTTAATGGTAAGTATTAGCTCTCCAGAAAAGATTTATTTCGATTTTCTGACATAAGGCCACGCAAAGTAAATTTTTCGTTTAACATTATATGGAATCTGAAAATTGGGTCGGTCGGTCGATTTTTTTTTTTTTTTTAAATCTACTTTAAATTAATAGAATTATGTTCGTATTTTAAGGTTATGCGAAGTTATTCTTTTTTTTTGCATAACAAGGAATTAGAAAATTGGGTTGACTGTCGTTTTTTTCTGTCGGTCCTATCGGATAATTCCGGTATATCGGGTGTCTCCATCGGGTGATACCGGCTAAAAATTGCAGAAAAAATAAATAGCAAAAATCGAATAATTGGCACAATTGAGATGTAAAAAAAAAATTTTAGAAAAATTAAAAAAATGGGTCGGCGGGTAATGTTAAACGAAAAATTAACTTTGCATGGCCTAATGTATATTTACTATATGAAATTCTTAATCTTACTTATCTGCATTAGCTGTCGTTAAATGAACAATTTATGCTAGCAGTCCACGGAACGAGCTATGATGAGGATAACGATTTGAACTACAATCCCCTACTAAGAATGTTGTCTGCACGTATTGGAACCAGTAAAACCTTTGGAGAAAACGTAATATTCATGTTTAATCGTGCAGGTAAGATATAACTTCTTCTAACATTCAACCTAGGATGTTACGGTCCTACAAGGACCATGGTCCGGACTGGTCTTTTGGACCATCCAACCAATTTTTGGTCCTAAATTGAGGACCGGTCTGGACCAGTCCAAAGCCTATGGAATGACCTTATTGGCTAAAAAATATATATATATCGATGACCGTATCTATAAGTTTCCAATGTCAGCCTAATTCAGTAACTTATAGATTTTTGATCGGTAATTATAAGATATTGGATCATGCAATTATGATCATGATTTACAAGTCATCATTGGCTAACTGAGTTTTAATTCGAGATTGTTGTGCTTATATAACAACGTACAAAAAATAACAAGAAAAAAATCTATGATCATAAGAGTTTGCATGATAACTTGTCGATTCAGTCATTGTAGTAATGCAGTAGAATTCCAATGATGTTACGGCCCAAGCCGTAACTAACTAAAAACTTATGTCGCAACTAGTTACGACAAATCATTGGGATGATTCTACTGCATCACTAGGCATTGGAAATTTTTTCAATTGCCCCAGGATTTATGATGATAGCTGTAAGTAGGGTGTCTAGCCTAGTAGCAAAGGCATGCCAACGGTGGCATGCCAATGGTGGCATGCCCTGGCATGCCAAAAACAAATTTGGCGTGCCACTGGGTATAGCATAAAAATTATACTTACAATATTCAAACTATATATGGTATTATAAATAATATATGGCATGCCTTTTGACATGCCATGGCACAAATTTTAACAAAAGGCATGCCAAATTTTTTTTGGTGTGCCAGACACCCTAGCTGTAAGGTCTTTTTATATGCAGCGATCATTAAACCCACACAGCTTATTTTTGAAAACCAGCCAATAGACCGATTTATGGGCCGGTTTATGGACCGGTCCTGGACCACGGTCCAGTCCGC